TTGTTAAGGGTTCACCAATTTTACTATTACGGGCTACAACTATTAGGGGCTCGCCCGTTCTCGAATATTTCTTCATTTTATTTTAAAGTATATAGTACGTAACCTCAAATGGCCTAACTCCTAAATCACTCGATCAATCCATCTCAATCTAAAGATAAACGTTCTTGAATAGGCATAGACTCGTAACATAATAAAACCAAAGATTTTCTTTCAACATGCATGCAATGCGACCTACCTCAAGTAGCATGTGGTAGCGGTGATCTCGATCTTTCCTACCTATAACCAATCCCTTACCTAAACTTCGTGCATACCAGTTATTTTTGGGTTCCTAATTCCTTAATATAAGTGGTGACTCATTTTCTTAATATTTTATCTTTTCCAAGAGCGCCCGCCAATCAAAACCCGATGAACATCGCATTTTCCCTCCTCGATAGTGGTTGAAGCAAGCTCTAAGGTAATCGTATAAAAAGTTTGATTTCTTCATGGTGGGGTATGGTTATGGTAAAATCACTTTTTATCTTTATGTGTTTATGAAAATTTTTATTACTAATGACTTTATTATTATTATTATTATTATTATTTCGCTTTTTATGAATGATATGCTAATTGACTCGTTAGGGATGGGCATTCTATTTTTCAGCTAGTCGAACCCATAAAAAAATTTTCAAAATCGAATAAAATTACTATTTGGTTTCGAAACCAAAATTTTGATTTTTGAGTAACACCTTTTTTTTATTATGTTTTTAATAGACAAAAAAAAAATGTTATGGACCATGCGATCTTTTCTCTAACTTAAATAGTCTAAATTAGTCTATATAAAAGGTAATAAATATTTTTTTAACTAAAATTAAATCACAAAACCATACCACATAATAAGCTACCAAAATTTAAATATAAGTTCACTAATCCACATCTAAAATATATAATAATAGAAAAAAGATTGTTAAAACATGAAATATCAAAGTTCAAATAACAATCAAGAGTTCAAAATGAAAAAAAAAAAGTTTTTAGTGAAAACCAAACCAAAAATTTCAAAAACCAAATTATATTTGGTTTGGATTTTTTTTTTAATTTTAATTTTTGGCCACATTGTTAAAAGGATTTAGTTGAAAAGATATTTGAGTAAGTAGTGTCCTTCGAGTGATGAAGAAAGAAAGAAAAAAAAAGATTCCTTATGTATCTACAATTGATAGCTTGATGCATATCATGGTTTGGACAAGTCGGACATAGCTCATGCAATTGGTGTGGTGAGTTGGTTTCTCTTCAATCCCGATAAAGAACATTGGTTATTAGTAAAATGGAAATTCAAATAACTTGGAGCCACTTCCAATTTTAGTTTGTACTTTGGTAATGGAAAATTTGTGCTAGATAGACACACAAATACAAATATAGTAGGTGATTTTGATTCTAGAAAGTCAACATTGAAACACTTGATGAATTTTTGAAGGGAAGCAATTTCATGACAATCTAGGTTGCGAAATATATTGCTTTATTCACCATAGAGGTTGAATATATTGCCATTACTAAAGGAAAAAAAGTGTTATACATGAAAATTTTCTTACATGAACTTAGCTTGGAACAAGAGAATTTTATGTAGCATTATGACAATTAGAGTACCATCTCGTTTTAGTAAACATCTTATGTTTATACCAACCGATGTGAGATGCTATGTACATGAAGTCATTTATTGTTTAAAAGATCAACAACAAGTAAGAAATATGATGATTAATCCTTTATTGAGAGAAAAATTTGAATTTTGCGAGGAGACGAAAGAGCACTGGTGAAGCCCTTAAATAAATTGGAAGGAGAGAATTATTGAATTTGAGCCCCTCCTGTTTGGGCCCCAAGACACACACACACACACACACACACACACACACACACACACACACACACACACACACACACACACACACACACACACACACACACACACACACACACACATATATATATATATATATATATATCGCTTTGATCAAACGAATTTGTTATGAAGGTGAAATTTAAGTATGTTATCCATAAGAACGAGCTTGTCAACTAAAATGGTGTTGGTCATTTAGAAGTTTCGATCTTTGAATATTTTCTTATAACCTATTCGTGCCTCCCTTTTTTTTTCTTTTTTTCTTTTTTTTTGGAATCCATCATTAGCATAATGATATTGGTGTTGCGAGGGTCCAATGATTTAAGCCTATTCCAGCTTTTTGGTTTTTTATAATACTAAAACTTTTCTCGAAAAAAATCTTTGTGTTGATTGTATAGTGTGTTTGTTTTCACTTTAATTATTGGTAATTTGGTTTATCTTGATTTTAATTGTAAAAAAATAAAAATAAAATAAAAAAGGACTTGTGGTTTGTTTATTTCAATTTGTACTCGTGTCATTTCTAAACATATGTTAAAAGAAACAGAGAGTGAGTGTCGGATTGAGACTAGAAATTTGATTTTATGCAATCAAATTATAGTCTATAAAACTTTCATGTCTCGACAAAGAGGCACAAAAGAAAGAAAAACCTTACAATGAACAACAACGAGAGCAAAAGATGCAAAAATTATCAGAGCAAAAGGCAAGAGAAAAAGCGAAAATGAATGCAAACATTAAGTGTCCTTGTCACCTTTCCATGACTTTTTGTTTTTTAATCAATGTGGATCTTAATCACCATTGATGTTTTAACTCTTACGTCTCGAGGTGTTTGAGACCCTCACATTTCACATATCAAGGAAGTATTTCTTTAGCTTTATGATAGCTATTAAAAAAAAAAAAAATTGAAAGTGTTGAACTGAGAGTTGTCTATACAATATGTACTTAATCCCTCTTTTAATGCACTTATGCCATTTTAGTAAAATACTAATTATATATGCATGGTTAACGTTTCGTATGGTGTGATATGAGTAGATGTTTTGTTTTTAAAGATTAATGTAAATTAAATCTATATATTGAGCGAACTTGTTTGATTTATATATTTTTATTAACAAAATAATTTATAATATTAGTATAAAAATTTGTATTTAAATAAATAAGAGGTTCTTTCAAAACATTAATTAAATTATTTTATTTAAAAATATAGATTTTAGAATATGAAAAAAATAAATAACAAATAATTAGCATTATGTGTGCGGATATAATTAATTTCAAACAAAACTATATATAATAATAATAATAATAAATAAATAAATAAATAATATATTAAAAAATCCACTTAAATCGCATGGAATATATCGAAGTGAATAGATTTAAATAAAAACTACTATAAAATTGGTTTCGATAAATTCTTATTATAATCGAATAAAATCTGTGAATTTTTTAACTAATTATTATTTAAAACAAAATCGAGTCAAATTATTTTTTAACCGATTATTATTTTTTTAAAAAAATTAAATTAAATTATCTAAAAAATATTTTTAGCTCTCTCTCCCTCATCAGAATTTATATATACTACTATGCTATTCTTGTTTAAAAATCATAAAAATAATCAATAGCATAAATTATAATAATATATTTTAAAAAATAAAGCAATCATGTTCTAAAATTTTATTTCAAAATCCATATATAAAAAATTTAAATTTATTAACAAATAAAATTATATAAAAGTAAAAAATTAATTCGATGAGAATTTTAATAAGAAACAAATAATTGAAGAAATAAATTTTAAACAATAAAAAATAATATAATCAAATATACATGTTCAAACTAAAATCTTAAAAAATATCATATATATTCTATAACTGTCAAACTATACGTAAAACTAAAAAAAAATAATGATTTTTTTATATTTTCACACCTAATTTCATGATAAAAAAAATATAAAAATAAATTATTGAAAGGAAAAAAAAAAAAAAAGAAAAGAAAGCAAACACTGGTCAGGACTACTTCTTTAGGCCTGTGAGCCAAGCCAGAACTGCTTGACCCCGCTTCTTTAAGGTTGGGCTGCTGGCCAAGGAAATGCTATATTACATGAACATGAAAAACCCCAATTCTTTTATTTTATTTTTATTTTTTTACAACATTTAAATGAAATATTTAAAATAGAAAAAAGAAAAAGTAAATGACATATAAAAGGAGATAACTTTTTTTTTCTTTCTTTTTGTTCATAAAATGACTAAACTTAAGGTTATTATTGTTATTTTTAATTTATTTGAATGGTTATTACTTTAGCAATTTTTAGACAATGGCATTTAATTTTCTCTATTTAGATTTTTAAATAAGTCATTCACATTTAAGATGGTATATTCATAAGAACTTAATTTTAAATAGGAGATAACAGTACAAGGACAACTCACTTACCACTCGAGTCAAGATCTGGAAAGTAATTTCAAGGTAAATTATTCTTTTAATCCAAACTAAAAAAAAAAAACCCCCATAGTTTCTAAACTTCTAAAGCTTATTTGGAGGATTCATTATGCGAAAAAAACAAATGGTAATTTATAATAACTCCCTTATGAAATTATTAAGATCATCTAAAACTTTGATGATGTGACAAAAACACCCTCAATGATTAATAAAATAATATAAAATTTTTTTATGTATCTAAAATATCCTTAATTATTATTAAAAATAAATAATAAAAATTAAAAACTTAAAAAAATAAGAAAAATAACATTAAAAAGAGTATTATTAAATTCACCACTCAAATTTTTATTTTCATTATTTTTTAAATAATTTTTAATACACTTTTCATTAATAATTATTATATAATAAATATTGATAGAAAGTATATAAATATTAAAAAGAGTACATTTATAAGTGTCTGGAAAAAATTTGATAGAAATAACAATGTATAAAGTTAATTTAACTGTATCTTAATGCTTAAGATCATCGGTTATTACAGTACGTTTTAGAGGCAAACAAATAAACTTCAAAATAGAAAGTTCCATGGCGATGGCAAATGGCAAATGGCAAATGGGTATTCCTTGTACTATGAATCTCTTTGTTTCTACCTTCAGTGGTCATTATCCGACCGAAGCAAATCACTTCCACTGAAAGAGAAGTAGAAACTGCAGCCATGGCCGCCGCCGCCACCACCATTGAGATATTTGGAGTAAAGATTGAAAAGAACCCTCCTCAGTCAAAGCTTGATGAGCTTGGAGTTTCAACCTGGAAAAAGTATGTGTCCCTCACGTTTCTATGGCCAAATTTCTTTTTTTGTTTTCTCTTTGAAACATATAGTCCCTTCTTGAGCTTCATTGGTTTAGTGTTTCTTATAATACATCTCTTGGGTTTCTTGCATTTGTTCCTATTCCTCCTAAATTCCTATCACCTCAAGCAATTACTCTTTCTTTTCTTTTTCCTTTCTATGGTTCTGTTTTTTATGCATTAATTAAAAACGGAAGTAACATTTCAGACAAACTTCTTGCGTACAGAACTTGAAAAGTTAAAATCCTGGTTGATTTGTTAGTTTGGTACTATTCTAAGATAATTGTTCCTGAAAATAAATGATATAGTGTAGCAAAGTTGTGGATATTTCTACATGTCTTTGATAATTGATCCCACAGTGATAGTAAATTGCTAATAAGAGAAATTATTTTAAAAACTAAGAAATATTACATCATGTTATTGCTTTTTTTTAAGATCCTAGTATGAAAAATTAGGATTTATGGCTGCTGGGCAAGCGAAAACTTTTTTTTTTTTAATTCTTCTGAGACCCATGGGCTAGGATTCGAAGGTGGCTTCACTAAGATAGTACACAACAGCTAGGCTAAGACTTTTGTGTTTTTTTTTTTTTTTTTTTTTTTTTGGGTTAGGAATGGGACATGAACAATTTCAGCATATGTTCCTCTTTCCTTAGGTTTTGATTCTATTTATACTCTCTACTGGTTCTTGGAAGTTAAATTTGACCTGAATTGAAAATTCAATTTTATGATCAAAGTGAAGCCAAGTCTGAGGCATTGAAAAGCTCTATATCAATCCTTTGCTGAAACTAAGAAATATTTTGTGACATTTTTGCGCCAAGAACTAGATTTTATTGAGGCATACAGCTTTTGTTTCAGTAGGCTGAGGTTAGATAGATTTTAAAAATTGTGATACATGGAGTTCTTCAAAGCTCTTAAAGCTCCTAATATTAGTTAGACTTGGAATTTCTAAATAAGAAGATATCATTTTCCTAAAGCTTAAATAATGTTCTTCTAATTCTTAATTCTGGCTAGAAAAATATTACTGTTTTACATATTCACCCAACATCAACCTGAAATCCCTAGGCTGCACAAGGATTATTTAAGGAAAAGGATAAGACGGAAATCATCAGAGTTTTAGTTTTTTTCAACCCATTAACATGGCAATGGGTACAGGTTTTACCTTTTCATGCAGGATTAGGTTAAGCTTAGATTTATATAGGAGTATTGTGAGAGACTACAAATCATCTGTCCAATTAAGAATTCTGTTCATTAGGCTTTTTATATCAAAACAAAGGGCAAGAACCTTATTAAGGTAATTTTTAAAAAAAATTGAAAGTAAATATCTTTTATGCTTTTGCATTGAAAGTTTCTGTCCATGATGAGAAGGTTGGTTGAAAGATTCAAGGCAATCTCTTAACTATTGAAGAAGCCACATTAGGTAGTGGAAATAGATTACACTGACTTGGTATTGCAATGGTAAATTAGTAATCTACATCAATGAAATATTTTTCTCGATTTGTGTGTGCCATCCTTATGCATAGCCATGCTAGTCTTTTGCTCTTTAAAGCTCACAATTAGCTGATACTGCAATTTAGTTTGGTTCCTTTAGATGACTACATTACAACTTTCAGAAAGTTATTTAGTGAGTTTTCTACTGGTATACAAAATGAAAGAGTTTGTCTTTTATGCTATTAATGCATATACAGGATAGTATTTCTGAAAAAAAAAATGTTGCCTTGATGTTATCGATTAGGTGGGGCTGTAAGCCAAGCAAATTTCCATGGACATTCGAAGCCACAGAGACAATGTATCTCCTAGAGGGTGAAGTGAAGGTTTCTGTTGATGGGTATGAAGGATCTTTTGAAATTAGGGCAGGTGATCTTGTTGTGTTCCCTAAAGGAATGAAAATCACTTGGGATGTCCTTGAAGCTGTAAGCAAGCACTATAGCTTGGAAAAGTAATGCATAATAATGTCTGACCTCCCTTGGCAAAAGCATAACATGTATGAACTGATCTATTAGCACGTTTAGGAAATGTACATCAGACTTAATCCTTGAAATTGGATTCCTAAGCATGTTGGATTACTTGATGCCATTTACACACAAGTGCTTCTACACACATAGGTTGCATTGGCGTAAGTTTGTATTTTATCAGAAAGTTGGAATTTTTGGATACCGATTGAGTTGACTAAGTACTGATTAGATGATCCTAATTGAGATCATTTGGTGTCATAAACTACCAAATCATTTCACAGACCCCTGAATGTGCTTTTCTATCTTGACTAGGGCAGAAATGCAATCATACTTGCAGGTATTCTTTTAGGAAGCGTTGCTTGATTGTACCTGCATATTCAAGTAGGGTGGATCTGTAGATAACTCGTGGATTTGATGCTGGAATTAATAAGATTTTGTGAATTGCTACCTGCAAATTCGGTCATGTGGATTGAAAGAACCAGTTATATATACCACATATGTTACAAGCATCTTAATCTTTTCTCACATAGCCATTAGCTAACGTTAGAGGTGATATCTTGACCCCTCTATTTTCTGGTTTGAGGATGACTGTCTCATTCCATTCCTGGCAAGGAGTTATTTCAACTGCCTATGAATGAAAAGAGTATTGGCAGAAAACAGAAAGGTACTGGGCTGGAAGATTTGAGCAGAGAAGGCATCTTCAGCCGAGTGGTTCACTTGCTTCGAAAAGTATTTCTTAAAGAGTCGTCAATTCTTCGTGTGTGTATTTGGCAGATCCGCACGCAAAATCCACGCCATCTAGAATATACTAGATAATTGCCCGAATAGCAGATCGAAAACAAGAGATGAAATCATTTGGAAAAAAAAAGTCATTATGATTTAATATTTTTTATCACGCTATCTAATAAATCTATTGAAATCGAAGGTAAAAAAATATTCACTTAACTTTATGATTTTTTAATTGAAATTTTATATTTAATTTATTAATTTTTTTGTGTTTTTTAAAAGATTTTCTTCTTTAAAAAAAACTCTATTTGTTTGTTTGTTTTTTTTTTTTGTTTTTTTTTTTGTTATGCATGGATTCTTAAATAAAAAAATTATAATAATTTAAAATGTAAGTTTCAATTTATCAGAAATCCAAAAAAAATGTATAAATTTAATTATTTATTTTATAAGATTGTATTGAGAAAATAAAGCAACAACTGATTTTCAAAAAAATTGCACAAAAATTTGAAGATTTAGATTATTGTTTTTTAAAAAATATTGATGAGAAGATGAATTTTTTGAAAGTATATATATACACATATATTCTTAAAATAATAAATAATATTAGCATAAAAAAAACTATATTTAAAAAGTATGGTACGGTCGAGTGTTGTTTTTAAAATGTGTTTTTATTATTTTATTTGAGAATAATTGATTTCAAAATATTCATTTACAAAAAAATTACATATTAAGCCTTTTTTTGTGTATATACACAATCTATTTATAATTTAAAAAACTAATAAAATTAATTTTGATATTTAATTATTTATAAGTAATATAATAGTAATTTTATTATACTTTTACCATTCGAACATTTGGTCAAGTGAATTGCTCATAGCACAAAAAATAAAAAAAATAAAAAAAGCAAACAAAACTAATACAATCATATACAGATTTGAGCTACTATTCAATAAAGAAAAAAGAGAATTTTTTGAAAAACAAATCCAAGCAATTTTTTGAAGGAAAGCGTAAACGCAAGTTTTAATTTATCAAAAATCTTTAAAAAATTACGTATAAATTTAATTATTTATTTTATAGGATTGTATTGAGAAAATAAAACAACAATTAATTTTTTTAAAAATTGCATAAAAATATTAAGATTTAATATATATATACTCAAAATAATAAATAATATTAGTATTAAAAAACTCTATTTAAAAACTATGGTACCATCGAGTGTTGTTTTTAAAATATATTTTTTATTATTTATTTGAGGGAAATTGAATTCAAAATATTCTTTTAAAAAAGTAAATATTGAGTGTTTTTTTTTTGTGTACATGCACAATCAATTTGTAATTAAAACATAAGTATTTTTTTTTAAAGAAAGCTTAAAAGTGTCTACAAACTACAGCTTTGGGCACTAAAATACAATCACTATATTATATTTATAAAATCATTTAGTTTATTTTTCATGAATTCTTTTGATATCGGTCATGATATTTATCATAAAAAAATTAGCTGAAAACAATGATGGAGGTCTTTGAATTGTAAAGTAAATTATAAATTAGTATCTCTTGTTTCAAGAAATGAATTAATTAGTTTTTTTAGTTCAAAAAACTAATTATTTAAATTTTTTTAACTAGTGTTGATCATGATAATTTAATTTTTATTTTATATGATATCTTTTTTTATTAATCTTTTCATATATTTATTTATTTTTTATTCTTTTTTTATCTATTAAAAAAATTAAAAAATAATAAATATAATTAAATAATTCGTTTTTGAAATCAAAGAGATTAATTAATTTGTCTTGTCTCTCAGAAACTCGAAACAACAAGGACTAATTTATAATTTACTCTTGAATTGCAATTGCTCCTTTGATGAAATAAGGGGGAAAGTAATGAATGACAGGAGCATTAAATGCTTAATCAATGAAAGACAGGATTAAATGTTACTTCAACAGTAAAGAAAATGATGGAAAAAAAAGTCAAAGAATTAAAAGCAAATCAGTAAAGGACAAACGTAGAATTTCACAAATCTGCTAAGTGGCATGACATAAATTAAGAGTAAAATATAGAGCTATTTATATGAAAAAAAAAAAAAACCGAACCAAAGGGCAAAAAAACTGTGATGTACACAATTAAATAAAAGAGTTTGAATAATTTATGAATAGTAAATATCTTATGTCTTTTAGTTTCTTCTGTAATGGGTGTATAGAATTGATTTTTTCTAAAATTAATTAACTTAGCTAATGTTTGTAATGCACTAATCAACATCATTATTTTTTTGTTTGACATGAATTTGAGCTATACAACAAATGGATTAGATTGATGATGAGTCTCGTTCAACATAAAATCTTGGGTCACAAAAACATTTTTTGGTGTCCGAAATGCATTAGGAAGATTATTTTAGTGGACTTAAAACAAAGAATGGCTTAAAAAAAGCTCAATTATTATTATTTTTTTCAGTTTTTACTACGAAGTTGAAGTATTTATTTCAAATAATTTAATTTCTTTAATTCAAATTTGGATGGTTTTATATGATCCTAGTAGTTAAGAGCAAGTTGTCTTTTACTATAAGCAAAACCTCTAAAACTCTCTTTCTCCCTCTTAAAACTTTTTCACTCACATACTAGAAAACATTTAAAACTTCATATATTTGGATTTTGACTACTCATTTATCAACCGCTCGGCTTGCGTCTTGCTAGCACTGCTTGCTCTTCCTCTTACGCCTTTTAATATTTACATCATTTTTATTTAGTTGATTGATTATTATTTTTATAAATCACAAAATTAGTTTTTTTTGTATCATGTCTAGTTTATTGACCGATCGTCTATCACTTCTCAAGATCTCTGTACATTTTGGTGACTCTATTAGAGGGTTAGCAGTGATGGTGAAAAAACAATAGTCTCTTCCAAGAATAAAACCTAGAGAAAAAAAAACACTAATCCTCCTTCCTGCTCAACTGCCACAATAATAATGATACTCTGCCTTTTTTGTTTTTTACCTCCAACATCTATCATTACTTTCATCATATTTATTTAACCGAATGACTTTTGTTTTTACAAATAATAATATTAGCTTTCTGTATACTGTATGACTTGTTGATTAGTATATTAGTTTTAAAGAATCCTCCTACGATGGGAGACTACCAACCCTGCATACGTATCCATAGGATGCATTCTTTTGTTTGGCCTTTCGTTTTCACAAGGAGTACTATTTCTAATTCACAATATTTAATACCAGAAGGTCAACCAGAAAATCTATGATTCTATAATATTATCAGTCTCTCAATCCTTCACCAAGCAAATGAGTTTTTCTTGGAAAGCAAGGGAAATTAAAATTTTCATTTGTTTTGTCTATGAAATTGAAAAAAATAAAATAAAAAGCAGTCAGTGTTGACTAAACTGGAGCATTGACATTAATTTAAATTTTATTTATTTTTTCCATGAATGGAAGTACAAAACAACAAGATTCATGATAAAGGATACACACACGAGTGTAGATCCATAAGAATACCCTATGAGAGAGTTGACAAAGAGAGAGAACTGAGAAATTAAGAATATGGAAGCAACAGAAGAGTTAGAGATTGTGATAGCTGGTGGAGGGATTTGTGGCCTTGCCACAGCCCTTGCTCTTCACAGGTTTACTAGCTACTAGATCTCGTTCATTCTTCTCGAATTTATCACTTGCTTCTTCTTCTTCTTCTTATATATGTCATGTGTGTGTAGGAAGGGTATTAGAAGTGTGATTTTGGAGAGATCAGACTCACTACGTGCAACTGGAGCTGGTATTGCTATCCTCACTAATGGTTGGCGTGCACTTGATGAGCTTGGCGTTGCCTCCAGACTTAGGCTCACTTCACTTCCTGTTCAACGGTATGGAATCCCAATCAGTTGCTAACATTTGTAGCATGATTACTTTGCATTGCATAAAGCAAGCTAATCTAGGTTTCCTTAAATGATCTAATTAGTAAGTTCTTTGAGCAGGGTATGGGATATAGACCTTGACAGAGGCAAGCAACAACAAGCACCGGTATCGTAAGTTCTGATCATAACATTTGGGCTGATCCATTTTGTTCATTTTGATTTAGTGGAGAATTTGTGTAAAATATTTGGCAGGATTGGTGAAGCTCGTTGCGTGAAACGTAGGGAACTAATCAAAGCATTATCGGAGGATCTTCCATTTGGTACTATAAGGTTTGGATGTGAAATACTCTCAGTGAAGTTGGACAGATTCACCTCTTTTCCAACTCTACAATTAAGCAATGGGAGTTCAATTAGAGCCAAGGTAATAATTATTACTTGCATGATCATTTTGTTTCGATGATGATCTCTCTCTTTCAGATTATTAAAAGAACCGAGGTCTACCGTCCTCTCTCGTTTTTTTCCTTCTCTTCAAATTAATTATTTCACAGGTTCTGATTGGATGTGATGGAGCCAACTCGGTAGTTGCTGACTTTCTTGAGCTGAAGCAAAAGAAGAGTTTCTCTTCTTGTTCAGTGAGAGGGTTTACGAACTATCCAAATGGTCATGGATTTGCTCATGAATTTGTCCGAATAAGGAGAGGGAACATTTTGTCTGGAAGAGTTCCTGTCGATGATAAGCTGGTCTTCTGGTTCATTGTTCCGAGATTCTATCCTACAGGTACGTATTAAGTTGTATCATCTGGTCAAACAAAAGGACAGATTATTTGGTTAATAGATAAAATAACACATACCACCGTAAATTCATGCTAATTGCATCGATTTGGTTAAGCTAATGGTGTTTATTTGTTTATTACTTTTTGTTCCGAAAGCAAAAGGGACCAGAAATGACTAATTTAATTTTTTTGTACAACAGATTCAAAGGTTTCCGAAGATCCAGAGCTCATCAGACAATTCTCTGTAGAGGCAATCAAAGAATTTCCAAGTGAAAGAATAGAAATGGTCAGCAATTGTGACCTAGCTTCGTTGTCTCTCACACACTTGAGATACCGTGCACCATGGGACATACTACTAGGCAGTTTTAGGAGAGGGTGTGTGACAGTGGCTGGGGATGCCATGCATGTAATGGGACCATTCCTTGGCCAGGGAGGCTCAGCAGCTATTGAAGATGCAATTGTGCTTGCTAGATGCTTGACCCAAAAGATGCAGAAAGTTGCTCAAGAAGAAAATGGGAGGCAAATAATGGTGCAAGAAATTGGAGAAGCATTGGATAAGTACGTCGAAGAAAGGAGGATGAGATTGGTGTGGCTGTCAACACAAACCTATGTTATTGGTTCAATGTTTGATGCTTCCTCCATGCTTGGGAAACTTTTGTTGCTGGCCATTTTGGCTGTTTTATTTAGCAACTCAACACATCACACTCGATATGACTGCGGTCGCCTCTAAGAAACCTGGCCTTGAAAGTTTAATCCCTAATTAAGTCCACGATATCTTCCTTGTATCCTTAAAAATTCTATGTAGATATGATTACGAGCAGAAAGCATGGTTGCGGTTTTATGTAACATGTTAATGCGCCTGTATGCTCAACGAAGTCCCATAGGCCATCTTTGTTCGTTTAAAAACTGCTTCAAAGAACGCAGCAACAAACACGGATAGACAACACCTAGAACAACAAACATTTCATAGAACTGAAAAATGAAGGTCTTACCTGCAACAACACACAAAGAGAAAAACAGACTTTGAAAACAGAAGAACGTAAAGCATGCAGCTTAGGAGAATTGCAAACAAAGACGCCAGAGCCTACAAGCCAAGTAGAAGGACAGAATCTGCAGGAGAAATTCAGAGACAGACCCCTCCAAATACACACCAGCATCTGGCAAATATCAACCAAGATAGCAGATGAACTTTTCATAACACCAGCGGCAAGAAGGAAAAACCAGAGGCATCTAATTGACCAAAATACACACAAGAAAAACCAAAAACCATGAAACCAAGCAAGACGAAAGCAGCCTTTAGCTTTGAAGACAGCAGCTTCCTGAGAATAACATCAGTACAACCGAAGGAGCCGCAGCGCCAGAAATGACACAGCCAAGCTATGAAGTCTGAAACTCTATGAATTTAAAGGATGCTGTCAACTGTCAAAGCAAACACTATCCACCCACTCTCATCTCCAACCAACGGTGTTAGACTAATGATTCCAGTATTAAACACACACAGAACAAGTTATCTGGAAAAAAAAAAAAAAAACTGCAACCGAATCTACAAGATAATACAGAGAGTGAAGTAGACACACTATCATTTAATTTCCAGTTAAACGAAAAAGATATTACGATTTAATTAAGTGACTATTGAATTTAAGATAGCAGTGGAACAAAAATGAATGAACAAATGACCAATGGCAGATAAACTTGTGCCAGAAGACCACACTTCTCTGCATCCCTTTTGAACCACCAAGGCAATGGATCAAATATAAATATGCTGCAACAGACAATCAAGAGCTTATAGAATATGGGTTTAGCAAGCTGCAGACAACCAACTGAAAATAAGTAGATTAGCAAAACTAGTAAATGCCAGATATATTTTTCTTTTAATTTTAATAAACCTTGCTAGCCAAATAGCATAAACTGCACATTCCCACTCTAAAGAGGCATTTCATCTTCTCCATTGTCAGGTGATTCCAATAAGCAGCAGTTTCATCTTGTTCAAAAACAAATGCAATTATTTCTTGTCTTTTGCAGCCAAAAACAGAAAAGCACTAGGAAGTTTTGCATGACCAGAACAATTAAGATCAACAATGAGAGATTGGAATGTCAAAATACAAGCAGCCATCCAATAACAAATTTCCAGCTAGGAGTTAAAGTGACTAAAATCTAACGTAGATCAATAATATGAATTTCTTTAACAGTTTGTCCGCCTACTTTATCTAGTCCTCTTCTAAGCCCGTATTAGTTTCTTCTAAAGTTCAGAATCGGGAATGACTCTCGAGCCTTCGGTACTAGGATACTTCCAGTTCAAATAGAAAAGGAAGATCAATAAAGAAACCAATACCAAAAAAAAGATTCCATCGATCAAGACTTTTCCTTAGCGATCTTTTTTATCAGTCAGATGTAAGGTGATAAACTAGATTGAAAGGATTGGTGTTATGCAAAATTTAAAGACTAATTAGAATCACATATGTATGTATATCCCAATCCCCATCCATCCAAATAGAAGAGGACCTCTTACTTGGTTGTAGACTTGTAGGGAGTGTTTGGAACAAATGAAGGGCGGAATTCATTTCATTTATAAATGAAATGAACGAGGGTTAGTATCTGCAAATGAATTCCCTTGTTTGGAATAAAAAAAAATTTATTAGCCAAATCATTCATTTATAAATACATTTTATGTTTGGAACACATATAGAATTAAAATTGTAGTTTGTATTTTACTTAAATACTTTTTAGTTGGTTGAAAGATAATTGTGATATAATACAAAGACAAAGGTAATATTTTCACAAATAATACAAGGATCTCATGCCCATGTAAATTGAATATATCATTTACATAAATATAATATCATAATAGCTATCTATATAATATTACACGTCCAAAACTGGAATATGTTATCAAACAATCAAGGAAACTAAAGGGAAAATTAACAATTCTGATTTCAACACAAAATCAAACAACAAAACATCAACGAGTCTTAATTTAGATAAGTGAACTAATAGTTTTTGTTAATTACAAAGCTAATTACCACTATCAATATCGTAAAATTATTGGAGAAAAATTAGATGTTTTGTGCGAGTACAAAGTGTAGTAACTCAATAAATTGTGACTGGCTCAATTATTCCTCGCTTTCGTGTCCGTGTTTCTTTCTTTAAGATGTTACAAAAAAATAAGAAAAAATTATAAAAATTCAACAAAAGAATAATTTGTAAGCTAAACTAATAAAATAAATAAAAAGGAGATAGAAAATGTATAATGAGAAGAATTTGTTACTAATATAAGTTATATTCGAGGTCACCTATCAACATAAGCTTTTAGGTGACATGATCATTTAATATAGTATCGAGCTTGATTGATCGGGTGGTCCCGAGTTCAAGTCTCACCATCCCTAATTTCTCAAGTATTAAAGCACAAGGTAATGTAGACTTGTGCAAGTTTCAAACCCAAATGTTGAGGCTTTCACTTGAGGGGGTGTGTTATTAATATAAATTATATTACGGGACCTCACCTATCAACTTAAGCTTTTAGGTGAGATGATCCTTTAATAGAATTAGCATCAAAATTCGTAAGTTAGAAAATGTAACTTATACGGAGTGTTTTTAAATATCAAGCCTTACAAAAATTAAGGACAATCCATTTGGCTATTAATTGAAAAATCTTTTTTTTTTTTTTTGCTTGACTTAATAGATCGAGTTTGCTTCTCATTCTTTTCCTACACTACATATTTTTGTCTCTTTTTTTTTTAAACAAGAAATACTCGCTATGTTCATAGCTGTTTGCATTTATATTCAATAATTAATTCTCTCACAAATGCTATCTATTAAATAAATAATTTTTCTAAAATTACAGATTATAAAAATTACGAGTTATTGAACTTTCTTCGAAATTCATTTCAAACATTATATGTAGGATTTTCGGATATTATCCCAACTAAAGTCGTTTATTTCCTATAAACAAAAAATGAAGACATAAAATTTAAATAGAAGTCTAGAACATCTAGAGTACTAGATACATAGACCGAAATGGATACGATCATACATACGGTTAATACGAGCACATTAATTCAAAGCAATTAAATAAAAAATTACTACTCCTAGATGGAATTACTACACCTAACCTCACATATTACTTTCACGAGTAATCAATAAGAAGAAACAACATGCAAACATCTCATACCGGATGAAATTAAAGCTAGGTAAAAGAAAGAAAAACCGAGCTCACACCACTAGATGAAAGAAAGAAAAAAGAAGAAGGAAAGTGAACAAAAATATAAGCAAACCTGGAAGAGCAAGTGAGTAGAGGAGGCGAGAGGAGGATGAGGAATTGGATAGCGACGAAAGGAGGCACGATAGAGAGAAGAAATATGTGCGAGAGAGATAGCTCACGTATTAAAAATGAATGAGTAGAAGGTTAGGATAGAGGGCATATTTGTCCAAATAAAAATATTTCTTAATTGGCATGGAATTCATTTGCAAATAACTCTTTTTGGGCAAGGAATTGGACAAAGTTATATCAATAATTGATTTGGAATTCATTCATTTTTAATTTTTAAAATTGAAGCTTCCAAACAAGATATCCTTATTTTGCAAATGAATTCCATAAAATTTTATGGAATTCATTTTTTCCAAACACTTTGGTAGTAAAAAACCGTAAAACATCCTATTCAATATATTGTTATGCATCTTAGTTATCGATTATGTAGAACCGATATACGTTCTATTACACAAAACTATGATATTACAATGTCTTTTATAGGAGAGACTATACAAGAATAGAAAATTAACTAATTACATTCTAATTTCCATAATTTAGATGGTTGACCTAATCTACATTTATAGCTCTTAATTATAGGTTGAAAATAGGAAACTAAATCAAATCAAATCAAATCAGATTTAATCAAATTAAATCTTTGACATTCTCAACTCTCCCCTCAAGTTTGGTTTGAAGATGTCTTCCATTGTCGACTTCCCAATCAACTTGTCAAACTATTGCTTTGGTAACCCTTTAGCAAGTATATCTATATCCTCGCTTTGTTATAGGAACATATGGCATATAGATTAATCCACTTAAATTTTTCTTTGGAAAAGTGTTTATCCACTTCCATATGCTTTGTTCTATCACGAAGGATTGGATTGTGAGCAATTGAAATTGTTGCATTGTTGTCACAATAAACTTTTATTGGTGAAGGATTTGAAACCTTCAATTCCTCCTATTGTCTCTTAATCCAAAGTACTTCACATATCCCATATGCTACTAATCTAAACTCGCTTCTACACTCGCTTCTAGCAACCACACTTTGTTTCTTGCTATGCCGGGTAACTAGGTTGCCTCTAATAAATGTGTAGTAACTAAAAGTTGATCTTCTATCCGTGGCATCTACTTCCTAATTAGCATCAATGTATAATTCAACTTATAGATGTCTACTTTTCTTGTACAACAATTCCCTTCCAAAAGTCCCTTTCAAATACTTCAAAATTTTGTACACGAGCTTAAAATGCTCTTTTCCCGGTGAACGCGTGAGCTGACTCACTACACTAATTGTAAAGGATATATCTATGCAAGTGTGAGACAAATGGATTAGTCATCCAACAAGTCTTTGGTATTGTTCCTTATTCTTCACTTCTTTGGGTTCGACGGAGTTGAAAAATTATGTAGGATTCAATTGGAGTCATAGTTGCCTTGCATCCAAGTAAACCTTTTTCACCAAGCAAGTCAAGAATATATTTACGTTAGTTAAT